GGCTGGGCCCCACTCCCCCACCCCACACACCCCAACCCGAGCTTTGCCCCCTCTCCCACTCTCTCCCCCTCTCAAATCCTCTCCCAAATCTTGCAAATTTGAAGAATTTGTTCATGGATTTCGAAGTCAAACCCTCCCTCAAGGTAATCTTCTCCGATCCCCTTGTTTTGATCCAAGTAATGTTATCTAATTGCTCATTTGTTGCTAGTTTGGGGAAACCCTAGTTTTGTTTGGATCTAGAGATTTGCATGGAGATGTGAGATCTTTGTTTGCCAATTTCCTATGATTAGGCTTTGTTGGTATGTTAGGGTTATTCTTATGGGTGTTCTTATGTTGGTGCTAGGGTTATGGTTAGGGTTATGGTTAGGGTTAGGGTTGTTGTTTGATATATATTTTAGGGTTTGTATTCCGTGTTAATCCTTAAATTAGTACTCATGGAAGCAATGTTATGTTGTGTTGTTTGAATGCTTATAGGGATGGGAAGAACATGTGTGTTTGTTCATCATGGGGACAAAGATGCCTTCCTGAAAGGCAATATTGAACCGGATCCGGATGAGCTTGATATGGTGTTTGATAGTAGTCCTAGCTATGCGAAGCTCTTGCAACAAGTGAGGAAAGATTTGAATTGGATGGACCCTAGTGATATCGTTGAGTTGGAGGGAAGACATAATATAGGTTTTGGAATGCACATCCGTTGGAAGACAATGCGTGTCAACTCGGAGCAACATTGGGTTGCATACAAGGAAACTGTGGCCGATTCACTTGACAAGGCTCTTGAGTTATTTGCGACGAAGAAGGTTGATTCAAGTTTGCATTTGGACTTGAACTGGGAACCCTCCCCTTTGGTTGCTAGTAGCCCCCCACCCTTGAAGCGAGATGAAATTGTTGAACCTCTTTTGACCCAAGAAGTGAGGCCAACATTGAGCCCGTTTACAAACAACCAAGATGAAGCTTTGCAAGAGGACAATGATGAGTATGCGGACGATGACAATGAAGTTGATCTCCATGACAACAATGTGGGTGATCTTGACAAATATCATTTGCAAGAGACAATGGACCATTCCATCCCTTTTTCCTGTGTATATGCATCGGATTTGGATGACAAAGGTCCCGATGAACAAGTTGATGAGGAGGGGTTCGCGGTGAAGGAGGCCGAAGCTTTCGAGAAGGTATTCGGTCGGGATCACAAGACACCATTGTTCAAGGATGTTAGTCTCGCGGATGAAGCCATTGTGGATGGTGGCAAATCTATATCTCTTGGGGTTAGGACAAGCTCTCATTGTGATTTGGGAGACGACAAGAACCGGATTGCTAAAGGGTCTAAGTTCGAAACCTTCTTGGAATTGAAGATGTGGCTCGACAACTACTCGGTTACGCATTATCGTCCACACAAGGTGGTGCACTCGGACGTCAATGTGCGCTACACGGTTGCATGTGCATGTGAAGATGAAATATGTCCGTGGATAGTGCGTGCAAGACCATAGAAAGGAGGTCCCACTTGGCACGTAGTGAGTTGTGTGCCAACTCACATGTGCCGAGGCAAAAGGGTGGATGGCAAGATTGTGTTCCAAGACCACAGACAACTCACATCCGAGTTCATCGCTTATAGGCTCTTGAACTCAATATCCACACTTCCAACAATGAGCGTCCAACAATGAGAGTTCATCGCTTACATGCTCTCGATTCACCTGCTCAGGCGTGATCGCGTCAAGCTCGCTCTGGTACAACTTGTACATGACCGAGGGATCATATGTCGTCTCATTTAACACATCCCACTTGTAAGCCCAAGTGGGTCGCCGTAGTGGGTCGCCTTTGTCGTCCCAATCATCGTACCTCACGGTCTTCGGGCGTCCAACCGGCAAACGCTCCCAGCTTCATCTGGAAAGTGTGAGCAAACAACCACCAATACCTCCAGATGACCTACAACAGGCTTCGTCCAACTGCACATAAAAGAGAACATGGTTGAATTAAGAGCAAGATCACATTCATAATGTAGCAATGAAGTGAAAAAGAAACAACTTCATACATGTCTATACAAGTAAGCCAGTGTCGCCGAACCCCAACTCCAATTGCTATCGAAGATAGTCAACGCCTTCAGCCACATCCATGGAGCATTCTTGCCTGTGCCATCAGCAAACATAGTCCTGGATATCACGTACCACATGTATACACGAGCATATGTCTTGACCGTGTCCTCATTAGCTTCTGGTGGGCAAGTACCAAAGTGCTCAGTAATCCACGTGAAAGGAGCACTGGCTGCGACTCTTTCCTTCTTCTTGTCTTCTGTTGCTGGTTCACGAGGCTCCGAAGGAACCATACCGATAAGGGCATTCATCTACGCGCGTCACCCATCAGAATCGGTGCTCATACATAGAGGATTCCCATCGATAGGAAGACCGGTGATCATAGCAATATCCTGGAGCGTCACGGTCATCTCCCCGGTCCGAAGATGGAAACTGTGTGTCTCCGGCCGCCAATGATCAATAAGTGCGGTGAGTTCTGGAGCATTGTTGGGTGGCGTCGACTGTCTGACCATCTGAATGAAAGGGAGAAGTCATGTCTCCCTTACATACGGTGTGTGTCGCTCATCATAGCGCATCCACCCAAGGGTGACCCCGTGAGAACGAAGCTTCAGAGGTGCAAGCTCCTACAAACAAACAAACCATAACATTACATATGGGGCATTTGTGTTTGAAATAAACACAAAATTCATAAAACTGGCCACTTTCATTATTACCCGCTGCTCCACCGCCATAGCGTACGACCGGTGTTGTTTGTCCCAGTGATCACCGAGAAGCCAAACCATCCTAACAATTTTGAAAGAAAGCTTTCTTGTCAACACGATTATCTTTTGAATACAAATAAACTAAAGTACGCCTAGTACATACAAAATTCAAAGCATTCTTATCAATACAAATATAATTTCAACACAAATAAACTAAACTAGGCCTACTTCATGCAAGATTTAATACACATCCCTTTTCCATATAAAAAAACATGTCAACCTTTGTATCCAAACCATATCTTTTCAATAAAATATACTAAACTAGGGTTGCTAAATTAGGTATCTAATACATGCAAGATTCTAATACATGCAACATTCTAATCTAACAAAGGTTCCCCAAATTTAATACATGCAAGATTCAAACAAGGGTTCCCCAAATCTTTAAAATATCATACATTCTATGGATAGAAAGAAGGGGATCGGAGGAGAGTACCTTCTAGGATGGATTGGTGAAGGAATTCACGGACCAAATCGTCAGATCTGAAGAATTTGAGAGAAGGGATTGAGAGTGGGAGAGGAGAGGGCCGCCGCGGCTTCTTCTGTTTGAATCTTGCAATGGGGTGGGGGGGAGAGGGCCGCCGCCGCTGGATAAGTCACAGTGTAGTGCCCGAGCGCTAGGCGCTGCACTGCTGGGTGCGGACCCAAGGGCTGCCACAGTGGACTGGTGTGCAACACCCTCAAGCTGGGCGTTGCACCGTAGTGTGTGGCGCCTGCGTGGCGGGCGCTACACAAAAGAGTCAGAGGTGTGAAATAGTTTCACGGTCAGTTCATTCTGTAAATTGATTTCTTACAAAAGTCAAAATTGTCAAATTATTTGACTGGCTACTCTGCTCGAGCTGCACCGAGCAGAGCAACCAAGATGCGGAGGCCAACTCTCGTGTACGGTGCACGCCGCGCCTAGCCACCCCGAGACGCAGTCTAACGTGTACTGTTGCTGTTGGAGGCTAGCGTGCTGGCGACCGTCCGTCGGGTGGAACGAGTAGGAGAACGGGAGGGGGGGTGGATGGGCTCCCGGGAAACGGGTGCTGACCAACCAACCAATGACGGTCGTGGAGAGGGGCAGGCAGGGCCACATGAGGCCATCACGGCCCGCGTGCTCCTGCCCACCCGCTGCATGCAGGATGCAGCGTCAGCGCAGAGCGTGCAGAGCCCGATATCATGGAGGAGAGAGAGACATGGCCGTCGTCCTTTCCGTCTTCCCGATGCCCCTCCCGGCCGGCTCCACTGCATGCCGTGCCCCTCGAGACCCGGCCGGACGCAGAGCATCCAATGCGCCGCGTGCCACTGTACTGTACTACTACGCGGTGCCACTCGAGTAGTCGCGCCTCGTCGTCACCTCATCACCCGATGCGTTCGACGTCGCCGTCCGTGGCTGCCGGCGGGCGAGCTCACCCGTAGTTATCTCTCGCGCATGATGACCGGATCGGATCGGGTCGGGTCGGCGGTTAGCAGCATCGGGCACCAGAGCGTGCGATGCATGCAAGGGCTTGACGTGATGGTGGCGCCAAACCGCCATGTCAGTGCAGTTTCAATCAACCCACCACATCGTATCATTTCGCAACCGAGTACTAGTACACCGGCTTTACTTTCAGATGATCCTACGTAGTAACATGACAGTGCATGCCATCTGAGCTGCCTTGTCAAGCACAAAGTGTCCTCTGAAGAAAATTACTCTCTCAAGTCGTGTTACTGATGCCACAGTCACCGTGTGTGCTGTTGAGCTGGTAGCTGGCAGCTAGTACTGTTGAGCTCAATAGTCTTGTAGTACTGCTGGCGGTGGCTCCTAGTGTGGTTGATTTCGGCCATTTACGCCGGAGATTTTAATTTCAAGGACAGTGCTGTGAGCAGTAGGCTGGTGCCGCCTGTCGTCTGCAGTACACACACGGCAGAGGCAAGCAATGCGCGGGAAGCTAGTAGAAAAAGAAGCGGGAATCATTAGTGCGGGGGCAGTACATTCATTCTGATTCCTGCGCTTCAGTAGAGACTGTCAAATTATAGTCAATGAAAGTCGTGGTTCATCACATTGTTGCCATCATACTTCTTAAGATTCCAAAACGCACCCTTCTTTCCAAGGTTTTTTGGACAAGTGCGTGTACATTCGAGCAAACTCCAGCAGCACTTCTCCTTGTATTGTTCTGTTTCATTCCTGAACGTGTACAATGAATATTGGTTAATTGAATTATAAGCAACAATTCATTACATTCTGACGACGTTTATGCATTCGGGGTGGATCTGTAATTTCCAACAGTATCGAGGTTCTCTGTGCACTTTCCTCACTATCTCTTCCACAAAAGCCAGGGGGCAGGGGCAGTCCTCTTCCCTGCAACCCTGCACTGCAAGAAGCCAAAGCGAAAGAAAAAGTGAGACCTCATCTCTTTCAGCTAAGCTCGCAATGGAGCTCCCATGGGGTGCCCTGCTGCTGGCGCTGCTCACCGTCTCCGCCTCCTCCGCCGTCGCCACGCTCGCCGTCACCGCTCCCCCTCCGGCCCCTGCCCGTGCTCCTGCCCCCGTCACCGCCCCTGCCCCGGCCCATGCATCTCCTCAAGCTCAGGACGCTGAAGGTAATGGCACTCCTTGCACCGGTCTCCTCGCACCATTTTCTCTCTCACTCCTGTCTTTCTTGCCACCCTTATCTCTGGATCTGTTCTTCTTGTTCTTGCAAATGCACCTTCGGTACAACACTGCTACAGCGTTTACATAGAAGAAAATGAGATAATGGACTGAGTTACTGCCGCTCCATTTTTGTCTTTGTCCCTTCTATGCTGCATTCTTGCAAGATTAGAACAGATACTTATTGCAAGCCATAGGAGAATGTAGTACTGCATCATCCCGTTTGCATACGAGGCTTAGCATTTTTGGATTCTTCCCCAGATTGTGTGGATCTATTGCAAGATCAGGGACAAAAGTTGGCCATGTTTTTTTTCTTTGTCTGGGAAGTACTCCCTCTGTTCCGAATTATTTGTTTTAGATTTGTCTAGATACGGAGATATCTAGCATTAAAATGAGTCGTATCTAGACAAATTCAAGAGAAGTAATTCAGAACGGAGGGAGTAGCAAAATGCAGGGACATCTCGGGGACATTTCGTTTCAGGTTATCTCCAGTCTAGTGCACGCGCGAAAAGAAGCGCTAGTAGTAATTTATTTTGGGTGATGCAGGTCTGCTGATGAACGGCAACTTCGAGACGGCGCCGAGGAAGGTGAACAAGACCCTCATCGTGGGCCGCCACTCGCTGCCGGGGTGGACGCTGCGGGGCCACGTCGAGTACGTGTCGGCGGGGCCGCAGCCGGGCGGCATGTTCTTCGCGGTGCCGCACGGCGTGCACGCGCTCCGCCTCGGCGGCCACGCGTCGGCGTCGCAGAACGTGTCCGTGCGCCCCGGCTCGCTCTACGCGCTCACCTTCGCCGCCACCCGCACCTGCGCGCAGGACGAGGCCCTGCGCATCGCCGTCTCCCCGTCGCTCTCCGCCCCCGCCGACGTCGCCGTCCGCACCCTCTACAGCGCCGACACCGCCGACACCTGGGCCTGGGGCTTCCGCGCCTCCTCCCCTGTCGCGGAGGTCACCTTCAGCAACCCCGGCGTGCAGGAGGACGCCGCGTGCGGCCCGCTCATCGACGCCGTCGCCATCAAGGAGCTCCCCACGCCCTACCCCACCAAAGGTCAGATCCGTCCGAGTTCGGTCGTTTCGCCTCCACGAAAATGTTCTGCTCCATCTGATGTACGCAGTTGCTTGACGATGCCATTGATGTACGTGGCTGTTGCAGATAACCTGATCAAGAACGACGGCTTCGAGATCGGGCCGCAGGTGTTCAAGAACTCGAGCGTTGGCGTGCTGCTGCCGCCGAAGCAGAAGGACGTGACGTCGCCGCTGCCGGGCTGGATCATCGAGTCGCTCAAGGCGGTGCGGTACATCGACGCCGCCCACTTCTCGGTGCCGGCGGGGCAGTACGCGGTGGAGCTGGTGGCGGGGCGGGAGAGCGCCATCGCGCAGGTCATCCGCACCGTGCCCAGCCGCGCCTACAACCTCTCCTACGTCGTCGGCGACGCCAAGAACGGCTGCCACGGCTCCATGCTCGTGGAGGCCTTCGCCGCCAACGTCACGCAGAAGGTGCCGTTCCAGTCCACGGGCAAGGGCGGGTTCAAGGCGGCGAGCCTCAGGTTCGTGGCCGCCGGAGTCCGCACCAGGGTCACCTTCTACAGCTCCTACTACCACACCAAGGTCACCGACGGCGTCTCGCTCTGCGGCCCCGTGCTCGACCAGGTCAAGATCATGCCGCTCAAGCTCTAGTCGTCCATCGGAGTAGACCAGAAGCTCAGATCAATCCTGTCGCGTTGATTCGGCATCGTCCTCTCGTCTACTATGTAGTAGTAGTGGGTATGTAATTTGTGACATTGATGGACCTCTCTCTAATCGTGTGCCAGCGTGGTGGAATGAATTGCCTGTGCTGTGCGTGAACCTGCGAGCTCCGTCAATTTGTTTGGGATTTGCGTAGGCTTTCTACTAGTATTTGAGATGATTTTGTAATGACGACGCGTCCACTGTTCACTGCGCACGTAACCGACGAATCATGCAGTTTGGTCTCTCCATATTCTACAGCCAGGCGTCGCGTCCAAACCGGCCTTAAACCCTCGGGCAGCCGCTAGATCATTGACCGTTCATGATTTTTTATCCAAACGGGTCTCAAACAATGAGGCGGATGGGGCGCCCTGGCGGTTTGAAACTTGTTTCCTTCGTTGGATCGGTGGCGTAGCTCCGGCGGGTTGCATAGTGCCTAGCCCGACTACTTAAGTCGATCGGCCGCATCAAAACCCTACCATCCATCCACATGCTGCTGCCACTTTTCCACTCCACCTGTCTGTCTAGTAGCCATGCCCCCACGCCGTTGGGGAACGAGCCATTTCTAACGCCAGAGCGCCGGCTCGAGCTCCTTGAGCAGATCCGAGCTAGGCACGAAGCCCGGATCGCCGCGGGGCTACCTCTAGATGCAGTGGATCCGAAAAAGGAGTTGGAGGAAGAGGAGGAGCCGAAGGAGGAAGATGTGGGGGAGCTGGGAGCTGGCGACGCGGATCTGCAGGAGGAGCAGCAGGCCATCCTCGATTCCCTCTGGTCGGAGTCTGCTGCAGAGGCTAGAAGTCATCGCCGGCAGGAGATGGAGGCGCAGCAGGTCGCGGAGGAGGCGGATATGCTCATCTACATGGATGAGGTGGAGTAGGAGGATGAGCCAGCGCCCGGGACCATCGTTGTGGACATCTCCAACGATGAAGAGTAGCTAGGGTAGTAGTAGTAGTATGTAGGATTTTTTTACATGCTTCATATGAATATATAGGTTAAAATATGAAAGGCGGATGCGAAATGGCTAATTTAAGGCATAACTGGTCACTGTCCGCCGACGTGTCCGGTCATATCCGCAAGCGTTTAAAGGGCTGGATTTGTAAAGTCCGGCTGTAGATGCTCTAACAGGGCAGCAAATAGCTTCACTCGCCAACGGACGGTCGGTCGTCAACACGCTAGCCTCCAACAGTGCGTTGGACTGTGTCTCAGGATCACTTAGGCGAGGTGTGCACCGTGCACAAGAGCTTTTTGTTTGACTCCGTGTGTTGGTTGCTTTGTTTTGTGCGGCTCGAGCAGAGAAGGCACGATTAACCCGGTCTCCGTATATATCACTCCGCAGCTAGCTAGCACGGCGGCAGATACTTGTTTCACCTTTACGTTAGGGTTCTTCCTTCTCTTGGCGGCGATGCCGGTGTTGAGCCTGTTTATCTGATTCCAAACACCTTCTTTCGTCACCGGAGTCCTGTCTTGATGAGCGGGTGGCGAAAGTACTACTGAAAAGGACAATCAAGAAGATGGACAGAAAAGAAGTTGTGCGTAGTGATAGCAGAACAGGTGGTTTATCATTATTGTGAAAAAAATGAAATAACTATTACGTTGAGATACGGGTCAAGATTATATTGATGTATTCTTCTTAGGATCAATACTGCCGCTTTGTTAATTAAACGTGACAAGGAATGCCATCCGAAACAAACTCCAGAATGCAATCTAGAGGAACATAAAACCAAACCTTACCAAGTTCTTCACTCAAAGTCTCAAACCAAACATAGCTGACTTTATCTGCAACACCATTCACACTAAGTCTCACCAATGACACCTTTACCTCTTGGAAAGCTTTGAGCATCTCCTTGATCTCCTCAATGCAATGCCCGCAAGCAGAAAGATTATTTACCGGCTCGTTGGTCATTTTGACCACCAAAACATTATCTAGCTCCAAGTGCAGCTTCTCCATGTTGAGTTCCGACGCCACCTATATCACCCTTTTGCATGCCTTGAGCTTCACCACCTCTGGATCAATGATCCCGTCGAAGCAATGACAGGCCGCCCTGAAGCGAGCCCATGTGATCTCGCAACACAACACCCCCCTCCTCCCTTGCCTCCATACTTGGCAATAGCCCTGTCAGAGTTGGTCTTCACCCAGCCCTCTTCTGGGAGTTCCCATTTCTGTTTGATCTCCGCCTTGCTCAGCTTTACCTTGTCTCCATGGACCGCTCTCCACTCATCAACATATGCTAACATCGAGCATTTGATTTCATGTCACCAACACGCTAGCCTCCAACAGTGCGTTGGACTCCGTCTCGGGGTGGCTAGGCGCGGTGTGCACCATGCATGAGAGCTTTTTTGTTTGACTCCGTGTGTTGGTTGCTTTGTTCTGTGCGGCTCGAGCAAGGTAGGCATGATTAACCCGGCCTCCATATATATCACTCTCCAGCTAGCTAGCACGTCGGCAGATAGTTTTTCCCCTTATGTTAGGGTTTCTGTTTCTCTCGCCAACTACGCCGGTATTGAGCCTGTCTATCCGAGCCCAACACCTTCCCCCCTCACCGGAGTCCCATCTTGATGATCGGGCGGCGGAAGTACTATTGAAAAGGACAATGAAGAGGATGGACTGAAAGAAGTTGTGCGCACTGATGGCAGAAGCGGTGGTTTATCATTGTTGTGAAAAAATGGAATAACTATTACGTTCAGATACGCGTTAAGATTATATTGATGTGTTCCTCCTAGGATCAATACTGCTGTTTTACTAATTAAACGTGGCTAGGAATGCTATCCGAAACAAACACCAGAATATAATCCAGGGTCAAAGCGCCAAGCATGGTGGTTAGATTGTTCAGACGGATTTAGGACGTCAGATGAATCACTTAAAAAGAATTAGGACTCACATGTGCATTTTGAAAGAATTAGGGTCCAATCGACACTTTGGTGAAAGAGTTAGGACTGCCCAGGCATTTTACTCTAGTTGAGCGACAATTTATTCATTTGGTACTGAGTAGAAATTTAACATGGAATCGTCAATACCTAAACAAAATATGCTAACATTCAAACGTAGCTCCCTGTAAGACAAAGCACCACAAACATAGTTCCCCATCAAACAAAGCACTACAGTGTGCCACACTTCCAACTCTTGGCCTCCTCATCCGTCTCTACGCGTCGCGTGCCGAGGAGTGAGGACGACGATGAAGATGCAACAGATTGTCATGGCCTCCTCGTCTGTATCCTCAGCTCGACACATCGAGGGAAGAGTACGTAGGCACAGACTGCTCGACCTCTTCGTCTGTCTCTCTGACACCACACGAGAAGGTTCGAGGAAGACGCGACACCCAGATGGGAGGACTCTAATCACAAAATAGGCTGTTGGGCATGATTAAGGTTGTAGTTCATGTGCGTGCTGAAGAAACAAGCAACCATATGATACATACATGATCCAAAAGGTGTATTTGCAGCAGGTGCCTTGAAAGGCGGAACTGAAGGTGTCATCGTCGCCGCAGCTGCAAGATTCTTTGCAACCTATGACACAAACACAAATAAAAATCTAGCCATCCGGATTCAACAACGGTGATGGCAATTGCAACCCGTAAACTAAGGGCCCATTCGGAAGTGCTCCACCTCCGCGCTTCTCCAGAAGCGGGCCAGGAGCTGGCCGAACGCCTCGGCTCCATGGAGCCAGCTTCAGATGTGGAGGAGGCACGTAGTGCAAATCGGTGGAGCAAGGGAAGTGTTGCTTCGTGAAATCCAAAAGTAGAAGTTCCTTCAAATTACATCCGGCTGCCACCCCGAAGTGCCGGCCGAACCGTTTTCCTCTGTGAACAAAGCCCAAGCTGGTGGGCCCGACCACAATGGCTAGCGCATCTCCTCTCCTGTGATGTCGAACGCTCCTGGCTCCCCTGGGAAGTTGGCTAGCGCTGATCCTTCGAGAAGCTGGCCCCATTGGGAAGCTATAGAGCTTCCGAACGGGCCCTAAGTGGCTCAAAACTGGCAACCAAACCAATGAATAAAGCGTCATCGATCTGAAATGCAGTGCCTTGCGGTTGTAGTTTCAACATAGCTAAACATCAAGTAACATGTATTAAAAACAAGTTGTGTTCCGTTGGAGATGAACAACCTCGTGATTCTTGAGCTAGACAATCATAGCAAAATCACAATGAAAAATCAGCACGAGGAAAGGGGAGAAAGAGATTTATTTATAACATGGAGAGGGTTAAGTGGACGACCATGATGGACATGACATGGTTGCCTGAGAAATTTGTGTGAATTGCTTAGCAAGCCACGTGCTGAGCCAAATTGTCGACCAGAAATGTAACTCGGCGGAGTAGAGGGGATCAACTCACTAGGTGGTGAAGAACTTGGTGCACAGCGCGACCACGAAAGGCGAGGAGCACCACAACGAGCAAGTAGTTGACCACACTGCTGGCTATCTCCATTTCGGGTTGCGTCCCATCGATCTTCGACGGATCCCTCATAGATCCTGATGTCAGCAATCTGCTCCGCTCGCTATCGTCGTTCAAAGAGGGAGGAAAAGAAGTGAAGATTACTTCTATTCACACACATAATGCTAGTTGTTTATGCCATACCATACCCAGAAATCTCTTTTGGAGTTTTTGGGAAAGAAAGAGAGCATCCTGCTACAAAGACATGCTAATGGATGTCAAACCACAGTAAATAAAGCATAACTGAACCGGTAGTCACATACAGCCCAACGAACTTGTGTCCTCGGCTCGGCTGGATCTTGCCTTAGTAGACCCTAGCTTTATGTAAGCAATGCTAGCTTGAAATCATTAGGAGGACAAAACCTGGATAGAAATATAAATCACCACAACAGTAAGGCAACATAGTCATAGAAAAAATTGAATTCAGCCGTATGTTGAACATCCTACCTGCTAACAATGATCGAATCCCCAGTTGAACATCCTACCTACTAACATAAATAACCCTAATTCTTCCCAAGGTGAGGGTGA